CTCCAATGTATTTATGTCCTCCATTGTTTGGTGCATATAAATATTAACCACTATGATTACCTTTTTGTGGATTATGTCCTTTGTTAACATGTAATGGCCTTCCTTGTCTCTTCATACTGATGTTAATGGGAAGTTTATTTTGTCAGAAACAAATATGGCTGCATGACCTTTCATGCAAGATGCATTTTCATAAAATATCTTTTTCCAAGCTTTTACTCAGAATTAGTGTTTTTCTTTTGACTGTGAAATGACTTTGTGGGAGACAACAAAATTTAGATGAGCTGGGTGCTGGTGGCTCACACCTGTAATCCTAGCTACTCAGGAGGCTGAGATCTGAGGATCCTGGTTCAAAGGCAGCCCGGGCAGCAAAGTCCAGGAGACTCTTATCTCCAATTAACCACCAGAAAACTGGAACTGGCACTGTGGCTCATCTTGAGCTGAAGAGCTAAGGAATAGTGGCCAGGCACTAGTTCAAGCCCCACGACTGACAAAAACAATAAAACAAACACTCAGATGAATTCTTGGGTTTTGTGTTTTGGTTCAATCTACTACTCTACCTCTTGTGGTTGGGGAGTTGAGCCATTTGGTGTCTATAAAGAAAGGTGTCTCATGCCGGGCACCAGTGGCTCATGCCTGTAATCCTAGCTACTCAAGGGGCTGAGATCTGAGGATTGAGATTCAAAGCCAGCACAGGCAGGAAAGTCTGTTAAAGTCTTATCTCCAATAAGCAACCAGAAAACCAGAAGTGGCGCTGTGGCTCAAGTGGTTGAGGGCTAGCCTTGAGTTGATGAGCTGTGGGAGAGTGCTGAGGCCCAGAGCTCAAGCCCCATGACCGACAATAAAAAAAAAAAAAGAAAGAAATGTCTCATTTCCTGAGATTTTGTTGTTTACCTGCAGTATGCTTCCTTCCTCTTCTTGTATTTATTAGTCTTCAAGAGCTTTTGACTCAGTGCTTTGTTTCCTTGACTTTGACTATTCTTTTCAGATTGTCAGCTTCTCTTTATTATGGTTTGTAGTGCTGGTTTGGTGTTCATGGATTCTTAGTCTATGTTTTTCATGGAAAAGTTTCCTTACACCATCCATTGTGACTATTACATTCCTTGGTTACCCCAGTTTGGGTTTCTATTACTGTCCTTAAAAACTGCTAGGGGCTCTCCTTGCATTTAGAGTTGGTGTGGAGAAACCTCCAGTAATACTATCTTCTTTCCGTTGTAATAGAGTTCTTCCTTTGGTTTTTGCTTCATTTAAAAATAGTTCCTTGTTCTTGAAGTGCAAAGGTTTCACTTTGATGTGTCTAGAGATGTTCTTCTGGGATCCTGACTGCTACAAGTTCTACAAGTCTCTGTTAGGTGGGTGAGATTCTGTCTGTTGAGAAAGATATTTTCTGTTCTCATTTTGTTACATAGTTTTTCAATGCGTATCCAGAGACTGAGAAAAGAAAATGTTCTAGCATATCTTGTGTGCTACTTTATGACCCCTGTGCTGTGGGGTCCTGGAGTCCCCGAGCCCTGGTGTACAAGATGCTATGCTCTGCAGAGCAAGGGCAAAGCCCAGAGGGAAAGGCAGAGAGCATTCTGGGTTCTGCTCCAAGCTCAGGATACATCCAGGGCTGTAGGAACCAACTTTTAATAACCAGCTACGTCATGAAGTTTACTTACTGATGAGTTTGACTTGTTTTATTCTAATCCATAAACATAATGTGTTCTCTAAACAATTCCTTCAGCACCTGGGAGACTGATTGCCTCTCCTGTGGGGACATTAGATTGATGCTCTGTAAACAAGGCCATCCAGACAGCAGGTGACACTGATTGATGTTCCCTGGTAGAAGCCTCATCACCCTGATGTGGCACATAGTCTAGGCTGGGCAAAGGCAGCCTATCCACAATGCCAGACTGCCTCCAGGAAGCTGTGCCCAGTGAATGAGCATTGCAAAGCTCTCAGCCTTGAGAAGAACATGAGGTAGGAAAAAGTAAGAAAACCTCATCATCCTCTTACCCCAACCTTACATTGCCTGTATACATGTTGTGATTTGAAACCGGGTTGCAACAATGTTTCCTGATTGGAATGCATAAACTTCAATGTTTTCTAGACTGACTTTGTCTGCAATAACCCCAAGAAAGGGGTAACCTTTTTTATTTATAAGGTATTGCTTCAGCTACAGATGTGATTTATGTATGTATGTATGTATGCATGTATGTTTATTTGATTATCAGTTGCCTGTCTTGTGGCTTGAATCAAGGCCTGGGCACTGTCTCTGAGTATTTGTGCTCAAGGCTAGGACTCTATCACATAAGCAACAGCTACAATTCCAGCTTCTTTGGTAATTTATGAGGGGTAAGAGTTTCACAGACATTTGAACTCTGTTGGCTTCAGATCCTGATCCTCGTATCTCAGCTTCTTTAGTACCTAGGTTATAGGAGAGTGCCACTGATGACAATTTACAGACTTTTTTCCTTTTCTTTTCTTTTTTTTTCGTCAGTCATGGAGCTTGAACTCTGGGCCTGGGCACTGTCTCTAAGCTCCTCTGCTCAAAGCAAGCACTCTACCACTTGAGCCACAGCACCACTTCCAGTGTCCTGGTAGTTAATTAGATATAGGAGTCTCACAGACTTTCCTGCCCAGACTGGCTTTAAACGGTGATCCCCAGATCTCAGCCTCCTGAGTGGCTAGGATTACAGGTGTAAGCCACTGGCGGCCTGCTCAGATGTTTTTCTTATAGCTTATCAATTCTGTGAAGTGACAGATATTAGAATTGCACTCTTCCCAGTTTTTACCATTTTAATTGTCAGTATTATTTTGTATTTGTATTATAAAGCTAATATACCGGGTTCTATTACATAAGTCAGGAAATGAGGATAAATATCAGTCTGTTGTAAGGCTTCCACTCTGGGTGCACATGCTGTCCCTGAGATTTTAAGCTCAGGGTGTGCCCTGCTACTTTGAGCCACAGTGCATCTTCTACAGTACATTTCTTTTTGGGTAATGTCAGCCTTACTTGTGCCCTTCCCAGTTTTCCCATCCTGTCCTAACAACAAGTTATGTAATTCCTTTTCCATATAGTGTCTACTGAGTACCACTGATGCATTCGTTCACCCTTTAACTGTCATAATGACCACCAGACTCTCCAAACAGCAAGTGACTTTATTCCTCCAACCTCAATGGAAAATTTTCAGTACCACAGATACAATGCTAGGGAAATCATAGATTTTTAACATGATAATGATAAGATCTCTGCATGATCAAAACATTCATCGTTTACATATACTGAATCTATTGCATGGTAGATTTCCTAGGTCGCTTGCTATATATTGCTCTCTTCCAGTGATCACTGCGTAGAGGAAATAGGTGAGCTGAAGCTTACTATAAATCTACTTCTCCTGTTCCATTTTCCCAGTGTTTTATCATAGTGAAAGACTTGTTTGCATAGATTTTTGTGTCATTTTCCTCCAGAAATACACTGGCATTTCATCTCTGGAGTTACATGATAATGACTGCATTTCATACCAAGGTATGCTAAAATAGAAACATGATCAGCACAATGCTTCATTGAGTTTTCAGGGAGTGTGTGAAAACATGTTCACATCTGGTATATTTGGCCCACTCTTCTTTTGAAGCTTAGTTTATAAACATTTTACCCAGAAATTTTCCCCAGTTTGTAATTTCTCCACAGGAAGCATTCCAGTTGGAAATCTTCCTGGGATGGTAAACATTTCTTTGGGGATGCTGGAGCTTGAACTAATAGTCTGTCCCTTACCTTTCCCATGCACTACTGATTAGATGTGTTTTCAAATGAGACATTGTAGCTGGACACTGGTAGCTCCCGACTGTAATCCTAGCTACTCAGGGAGTTGAGATGTGAGGATCATGATATGAAGCCAGCCCAGGCAAGAATGTCTCTGAGACTTATCTCTAATTAATCACCATAAAGATGGAAGTGAATCTCTTAGCTTTGAAGAAAAATAAAACACCACAAGGATATCATTCAAACACTGATATCAAGCTTCAAGATTTCAAATGCACCTGCGCACGCGCGCGCGTGCGCACACACACACACACACACACACACACACACAGGCACACAGCAAATATAATCTGGAGAGCAAAGAAAATTTCTTATGCAAATTTTTGTGTACCATAGGCCCACAGTTCTCCTAGCAAAGGCACTAGGACCCATGGTGTGAGCCAAGGTTTCCCTCCTACAATCTCATCTGTTTCCGTACTCAACGATCCTCTGGAACCTTTGAGATTCCATTCTGGAAGTGCCACTCCTGGGCCTGAAACTGATTTTCATCGTCCTCATATTCTCCCTGAAGAACCATTTAGAATGGATCAATAATCTGGTGAACTGATTTTTCATTCTGGTATCAACTGTCAGGCTGCTCAATACATCAGACATTACAATGCCGTTCACAATATTCTCGGATGAATGAATATGGGGGTTTTTCCTCATAGCCCAGCTGTGCATCAGTGTCATGGGGAACTCCCTGCTCTCCATGCTCTATCTGTACACGTTCTCATTCCAATGTCATCTGAAGAAGCCCATCAATGCCATCTTCATACATCTGACTGTGGTCAACATCCTGAACCTCACCTTCACACTTGTGCCATATATGGTGGCATCCTTTGGAGTCCAATATTTTCTGGATGATGTGGGCTGCAAGTCGGTGGTGTACATCTTCAGAGTCACACGGGGACTGTCCATCTGTACCACCTCACTCCTCAGTGCGTTTCAGGCCATCACCATCAGCTCCAGCCATGCCCAGTGCGTGTAGCTTAAATCTAACTCTTCAGTGTGTATTTTCCTTTCTTTCCTCTCCTTCTGGGTCATCAATGTGGTCATCGATGTCCCAGTCATTACAGCTATGAAAGCAAAAAGCAGTTTCACCTTGGTTGGTCCCAGGATTTCCAATGCATATTGTGAGACAGGGTGGATAGAAGACACTAGAACATGGGATTTCATCCCTATTTTATTATTTTGAGGTCTTGTGTTTGTTATCCTCATGTTCACCACCAACCTCTATATGGTGACCCTCCTGTACCGACACCACAAGACAGCCCCGCACCTCCATAGTATCAGGCTTGCCTCGCAGCCAGTACCAAAGATCAAAGCCACCCACATCATCCTGCTGTTGGTCAGCTATTTCGTGTGTTTCTATTGCTTCAAGGACATCACCAACTTCTATTACTTTTACACAGCAGTGAAAATCCCTACACTGGAGGTGATGGTTTTTATTCTATCAGCATGCTACCCAACCGTGTCTCCTTTTTTCCTCATGAAAAATAATAAATAAAGTCAGAATAACACAACCAAAATGACATATACAATAAAGGCTGTATATGACAAACCTACAGCCAGCATTATACTTAATGGTGAAAAACTAAAGCCATTTCCTCTTAACTCAGGAACAAGACAAGGATGTCCACTCTCTCCACTTCTCTTCAATCTAGTATTAGAATGCCTAGCTACAGCAATAAGACAAGATGCAGACATAAAGGGGATCCAAATAGGGAAAGAAGAAATAAAACTCTCCCTCTTTGCAGATGACATGAAACACAACAAATCAAAGAAAGGTTGGACAAATGGGATTGCATGAAGTTGCAGAGCTTCTGCATGGCAAAGGACATAGCTAGCAAGATCAATAGAAAGCCCACGGATTGGGAGAAGATCTTCACTAGCCACACACCGGACAAAGGTCTCATATCTAAAATATACTTGGAACTCAAAATATTAAATTCCCCAACAACAAATCCTCAAAGAAACAACTGCCCAATAAATAAGTGGGCTAAAGACATGAAGAGAAACTTCTCTGAAGAAGAAAGAAGGATGGCCAATAGACACATGAAGAAATGTTCAACATCCCTAGCCATAAAAGAAATGCAAATCAAAACAACATTGAGATACCACCTCACTCCAGTTAGAATGGCAAAAATAAAAAACTCTAATAACAATAGATGCTGGAGGGGATGTGGACAGAAGGGAACCTTACTTCATTGTGGGTGGGAGTGTAAACTTGTTCAACCACTTTGAAAAGTAGTATGGAGGTTCCTCAAAAGACTCCACATAGAGCTCCCGTATGACCCAGCAATCCCACTTTTGGGCATTTACCCAAATGTTTACAAACAAGACCACACTAAAGCTACCAGCACAACTATGTTTATTGCAGCATTATTTACCATAGCTGAGATCTGGAACCAACCCAGATGCCCCTCAGTAGATGAATGGCTCAAGAAAATGTGGTGTATATATACAGTGGAATTCTATGCCTCCATCCGAAAGAATGACATTGCTCCATTTGTTAGGAAATGGAAAGACTTGGAAAAAATTATATTTTTTTTTGTCTTTTCTGTTTTGGTACTGGGGATCGAACCCAGGACTTTGCACTTGCTAGGCAATCGCTTTGCCACTGAGCTACATCCCAGCCCAGAAGAAATTATATTATGTGAAGTAAGCCAAGCCAAAGAAACATAGGTCCCATGGTTTCCCTTATTTGCAATATCTAGTATATGTATGAGTCAAGCAGAAAAGGTCACATAAGGTGATGGTAGGAAAATGAACCCTAAGATATGTATTTAAATGTTTCTTTTTTCTTTCATGCATTTGTTTCTAATGCATTTATAAGATTTTTTTCTTTCTTGCTTAGTATGTCCCTCCCCACAGTATAACCCCTGTTTTCAATGTAGTTGATGTTGATATAATTTGTGGAGGGGAAGGGGATAAACAAGTTGTTTCAATAAGGATACAGGTGGACCCATGGCAACAATGAGAAATACAAGTTTTCATGTTGAAAAAAAACTTTACAACTTTGGTGGGGGGAGGGGAGGATTGGGATGGGAGGAGGGGGAGGCTGGGAAGGAATGTGAAGTTTAAACAAAGCAGGAGGCTACAATGCTTGATAGGAAATGTACTCATTATGTTGCCATGTAATTGTAACCCCTCTGTACAGTATGTTCACAATTTCAAAAAAAAAGAACCTCGGGGAAGGTAGGGAGGGAAGGGATGGTGGGGGAAAAACAATGGAGGGGTAACAATGCTCAATAGGAAGTGTACTCATTACCTTGCTCATATAACTATAACTCACTGTATAGTATCTTTACAATAACAAATTAAAAAAAGAGAAATTAACTCCAGTTGAATGATGCTTTTCAGCTATATGAACGCTAATGGCAAAGTAGCAGGATACAAGCTAAATATATACTTATTGGAAGCTTTTCTATGCACAAAGAACAAACACTCTGCGTAGCAGTTATTATAACAATCTCACTGGAAGTGCTCTCCAAGCTGATATCATAATCATCAGCCCCGTGCCAGTGGCTCACACTAGTCATCCTAGATATTCAGGTTTCTGAGATCTAAAAATCAAGATTCGAAGGCAGCTTATGCAGGCTTATATCCAATAAGCCACCAAAAAGCCAGAATTGGAATTGTTGCTCAAGTGGTAGGGGACCAGCTTTGAGCACAAATACTCAGAGACAGCACCCAGGCTCTGAGTTGAATCCTTAACACACACACACACACACACACACACACACACAGGTTCCCTACAAATGTATGTCAATTTCATTTCTGTCTCTTTTTTTTTTTTTTTGTCAGTTATGGGACTTGAACTCTAGGCCTGGGCACTGTCCCTCAGCTCTTCAGCTCACGGTGAACACTCTACCACTTGAGCCACAGTACCACTTCTGGTTTTCTGGTGTTTTATTGGACGTAAGGGTCTCACCGATTTCCTGCCTGGACTGGCTTTGCACCAAGATCCTCAGATCTCAGCCTTCTGAGTAGCTAGGATGACAGGTGTGAACCACTGGCGCCCGACAATCTCATTTCTCCTTAAAGACAGCATCTTCCAGTGATAAGTTAACACTTAACACAGTTCTAGTTCATTTTCTACCTTTCTTTCTTTTTTTGGAGGGGCGGAGGGTTCAGATCATGGGGCCTGAACTCAGGCCTGGGCGCTATCCCTCAGCTCTTCAGCTCAAGGCTAGTGCTCTACCACTTGAGCCACAGCACCACTTCCACCTATTTTCTTTTTGCTTATGCGGTGCTGAGGAATCGAACCCAGGGCCTCATGCACACAAGGCAAGCACCCTACTCCTGAGCCACCTTCCCAGCCCCCATTTTCTATCTTTCTGTGTTGCCCACCATTTTATATAAAGAAGGACGCATTGTGATCACCACATCCCAACTTTGGGTGATCAATCAGTGAGCCAAGACGGAGACCCCATGGAGCTCAGTGCCAAGCCATGAATCCTGGGGGCTCAGTACTTCCCAGTGGAGGGCACAGTGCTCTCTGAACTCTGCCCTGCAGTGCTCAGGTTATTTCCTACCAGTGGCGTGAGAAGTAACTTTGAATGAGTTCTTAGCATCTCCATTTTACTTTCTTGACACCGCTGGGACTGGGAGCACAGACAGACCTGCATCAGGAGACATGCTGTGCTCGTGGGACAGGGCACCTGACTGCTCTGGTCCATCACGATGACAAGAAATAAACAGGGTCCGAGTGACAGCAGCAGGGGACGAGGTGAGCAAACACCGTGGGGACACCCCCCCCCCCCCGCCCTGTCCTCCTCTGGCTAATATGGGCCTACGTGATCAAGCCAGGCTTCCAAAGATACTCTGTGTGTCTGCAGTCCAGACAGCCAGAGGAAGGATTTTGCAACTCTGAGCCAGGGGTGGGGTGAAGGCCCAACACTGCCCATCCCAGGATGAGCTGTGGTTTGCAGATTCACTTCTCTCCCTATTCATTTTAGGTGCCAGTCCTAGGGCTTGAAGACAAGCCTTTAGTGCTCACATGTTTTTTTTTTTTTTTAGCTGTTTTGCCCAAGATTAGTTCTCTACCACTTGAGCCACAGCTCCAATTTTGGTTTTTTTTTTTTACTTATTTAGTTTTTGTAAAGATAAGCATCACCTGGACTTTTCCTGCTCTCCCTGGTTTTAATCCCCAATCCTCACATCTCAGATTCCTGAGTAGCTAGGATTGCAGGTGTGAATCACTGGCCCGTCTTCATTTCTCTCACTTGTGTTTGCGGTTGAATACACATCTTTCTTGTTTCTCTCCATGCTACCCTCTTGGTTCAGGCATTTGCTTGCTTTTGATTCTTTCCCGTTTGCACACTTCAGTGGCTGTGGCACATCACTGCTCGGTTCCCTCCAGAGGAGTCCTGTACAACTGCCAACTCACCTGTGGTAAGTTCCATCTTCTAGGCATATTAGGAATACTTCCAAATGTATTTACAAAGGGAATCACAAAATCATGGTGTGTGTGTGTGTGTGTGTGTGTGTGTGTGTGTGTGTGTGTGTGTGTGTGTGTTTATGTGCCAGTCCTGGGGCTAGGACACTGTCACTAATTACTTTTGCTCAAGGCTAACACTGTACCATGTGAGCTCTAGCTCCACTTCCAGCTTTTGGTGATTCTGTGGAGACACAAATCTCACAAGCATTCCTTGCTTGCCATGGCTTTGAACTGGGATCCTCAGATATCCTTAGATATCAGCTACCTGAATAACAGGTGAGCCACAAAATCTTCTTTCCACAAGGGCTTGCATTTTCTCTATTGCTATCTCTAAAATTCCCATCTTAAATTAGCTTGCCAGCTACTAATTTTATGATAAACATTTCCCCATCTTATTGGACACTGAGTGGTGGGTGTGTGAAACGTGGGCTTGTTCACAAGGAGCTGATTGTTCTGTATTTTCTCCAATAAGGGCTGTCTGCTCTCCTTGTCCTCATCCCAGGACCCTGTCTGTAATGTTGGGGCTTCTTTCTGACACTGTTCTCTTGATCTTTCTGTCTGAATCATCTCTTTGATTTCTGTGGCAGAAATTTCATAGTGCATCTTCATAGTAGCAAGTTTTCACAGCAGATTTTTATCTTTAAATGTGTGGAGATATCGTTAGTCTGGGGCAGTTTTCATTCCATTTGTAAAGCACAATAATTGTGTTGGGAAATATTGTACAGGTGAAACAATTCTGCACCCTTGTGCCTTCTCAGAGCAGTGGATGGGCTTCATTAGTGTCTGAGAGAGAATAAATGGAATTTTATTTTGACTGGGTGAAAGATAACATTTAAAAAAGACTGGGTGTGCGGTTTCTTATGGCACATTGCTCAAGAGTATGAACTGACTTGATCAGGTTTATTTTATATCATTTCCATCTTTCCTTTTTTCCCCCTGTTATTTCTGCTAATTACTAAAGTCTTTGTGTAAAATAATGCATTGCAATGGTTGATCCTAGTAATATGAGTCCTAAAATTGCCCAGTGGGTCATCGAATGAGAATCAGAACAGAGAGCCTTATGGAAAATACACAGCCCAAGTCAGTTCTTTGTTAGTGAGCTGCATTTAATACTCTTACTTCACACTGTTCTTCTGTCCAATAAGAAGGGAAAATATAAAATAACAAGCTTCACTAGAAAGTTTTACAGGTGGGGCTGGGAAGGTGGCTCAGTGGTAGAGTGTTTGCCTTGCATGCCTGAGGCCCTGGGTTCGATTCCTCAACACCACATAAGCAAAAAGAAAAAAAGCCAGAAGTGGCACTGTGGTTCAAGTGGTAGAGCGTTTGCCTTGAGCTGAAGAGCTGAGGGACAGACCTCAGGCCCAGACTTCAGGCCCCACGATGGGACCTAAAAAAAAAGAAAAGAAAAGAAAAGAAAGAAAGTTCTAGAGGTCATGCTATTTAAATTGAAAAGTTTAGAGATAGCAGAAGAGAAAAGGCAAGCACTTCTTAAAAGATGATTTGGGTGTGTGTGGTTTACGCCTGTAATCCTAGCTACTCAGGAAACTGAGATCTGAGGATAACAGTTCAAAGCCAGCCTACGCAAGATAGTCCATGACACACTGATCTCCAATTATGCACTAAAATGCCAGACACAAAGCTGTGGTTCAAGTCATGGAGTACTGGTCTTGAGGAAAAATTTTCAGGGACCATGCTCAGACCCAGAATCAAGCCCCAGGACCATCACACATAGAAAAAGACAATCTGGAAAGATCCTGATTACATAGGAAAGATAACACACATTACAATATGAGAATATGATGAACATTTCTGAGCCATAACGAATATAACAATTACTCAGAATTCTAATTCATAAAAGTTAAACTGTCTCTGGAAGGCACAATGGATGCTGAGGAGGGCAACACACAGAGTTGTCATGCTCAACAATTTGGCTGTTGTTTCTGGCCAGGAAACAGTGAGAATACTTCTGTACAGCAGCAAAGAGGGCCACAGTGAATCGTTGTTGTGCAGGAGATTGTTCAGGAGAATGGGTTGAACAATGTTCTTACAGAGTTGGTCAGGAAAAATAGGATACTAATTTAATTCAGTGCAAGTTTATAAAGGAACAAAGGATTCTATGTGATGAGAGAGAAAACACAAGAACAGTAATGAGTGAGTGAGAATGATGCAGGGGGAAAACTCTCAAACGTACAGAAAATAAGCCAGGCGCTGGTGGCTCACGCCTGTAATCCCAGCCACTCAGGAGGCTGTGATCTGAGTGTCACGGTTCAAAGCCAACCTAGGCAGAAAAGTCCAGGAGACTCTTATCTCCAAGAAACCACTACAAAAATGGAAGTGGTGGCTGTCGCTAAAGCAGTAGAGGGCTTGCCTTGAGCTGAAGAGCTCAGGGACAGCACCCAAGCCCTGAGTTCAAGACCATGACTGACAGAAAAAAATGTACACAAAATATTGGTTAGATATTTACCTTCTCGTATCTCTATATACCATGAAAAAGTCATATTGTGCTTAGTACTGGTGGCTCACGCCTGTAATCCTAGCTGAGATCTAAGGATCTCAGGAGGCTGAGATCTAAGGATTGAGGTTCAAAGCCAACACCGGCAGGAAAGTCTGTGGGACTTTCATCTCCAATGAACCACAGAAAACCAGAAGTGGCTCTGTGGCTCAAGTGGTAGAGTGTATGCCTTGAGTTAATGAGTGGAGACAGCGCCCAGGCCCACAGTTCATTCCATGACCAACCGGAAAAACAAAAGTCATGTTGTAGCCATCCCCACAGGGATTTTACATGGATGTGCTATTTGTGCAACAGGTGTTCAAAAAATGAAGATTTTACCAAAGTGAAGCCAATCAGATGCACAGGCTCCCAGTGCTCCTTGTACCATCCACTGCCGACCATGATGGAGCCCCAGGGACCACAGGAAGAGACAGCCAGTGATCTTCCTTCCTAACACCCAAGCCCAGTGTGGTGCCCTTGAATTCCCTCCTGATTCTAGCATGTGTCTCCCCAGGTCCTTCCAGGCCCTACATCCCAGATTCAAAGGTCACAGCATATTCATGTCTGAAATACCGAGGTCAGAACTCTTCCAACCCTCCAGAACTGGCAAATGGAATATTTTTCCCAGACTCCACTTAAAACAATTGTATGGGCCAGACCCTGGTGGCTCACCCCTGTAATCTCAACTGCTCAGGAGGCAAAGATCTGAGGATCCAGGTTCAAAGTCCAGCCAGAAAGGGAAGTCCTTGAGACGCTGATCTCCAGTGATCCACCAACAAGCCAGAAATGGAGCTGTGGTTCAACTGGGATAGCACCCGCTTTGAGTAAAAAAGCCCAGGGTCAGTACCCGGGCCCTGAGTTCCAATTTCATAAGCGATATGAAACCCTCCCCCCCCAAAAAAAGAAACTATTTTTAAATCATTGTTTAACACTCTAACTTTTGGCATTGATTCTAAGCCTGGCTTATGTTATAAAGAAATGGAGCACCATGAAAATTACTGCCTGCGGGACTCAGACTGTTGTCTAGAGCTTTCTCACCTTCCTGGCTGGGCAGCACTCTTGCTTTGATTCTCAGCAACACACACATACAAACTCTCTTTCTCTCTCTTTCTCTCTCTCTCTCTCTCTCACTCTCTATCTCTCTCTCATTCTCTCTCACTCACTCTCTCTCTCTCTCTCTCACACACACACACACACATCATGACAGCCAACGTAGGTGACACTGTGTTCAGGCTGCTCTTTGTGTCTAAGGTGTGTCTGGGAGTCCTGGGGAACTGTGTCCTCTTCCTGCTGTACGCGTACAGCTCAGTGTGCAAACCCCAGCTCCGAAAGCCCATTGCCATAGTTTTCATGCACCTGACCCTGGTCAACGCCTTGACCATCATTTTTGAGTCCATGCCCTTCATCGTCTCCTCATATGGAGTCCTGTGTTTCTGGGATGATGCCACGTGTAAGGCGATGCTGTTCCTGTTCAGGGTCACTCGGGGACTGTCCGCCTGCACTACCACCTTCCTGAGTGCCTTCCAGGCCCTCACCATCAGCCGCACCCCTGCCCAGTTGGCTTGGCTGAAAAGCCGATCCTCCGTCTGCATCCTCCCCTCTCTGCTCTCCTTCTGGATCTTGAATTCTGTCATCTATTTCTACATGATCAAAACTGTGGAATCCAATTGCAATTCCACCTTCATGACCCGGGGATTTTCTCATCCTTACTGTCAAACGAAGTTTGGAAGGGACACTCAAACGCCCATTATCAGCTCTGTTGTGCTGCGAGATGCTCTGTCCCTGGTCCTCATGGTGGCCCCCAGCCTCTACATGGTGACGCTCCTCTACCGACACCGCCGCAGAGCCCGGCACCTCCACAGTCTCAACCTTGTCTCCCAGTCAGCGCCCGAGAACACAGCCACCCACACCATCCTACTGCTGGTCAGCTGCTTCGTGTTCTTCCATTGCTCTAACAACATTGTGACTATGTATTCCTTGTACACACTGGAGAAATTGAACAAATCCAAGGGTGTGCTTGTGACGTTGTCCTTCAGCTACCCCACCCTCTGCCCGTTCTTGCTCATGAAGAATAACAGAATGGTTTCACGATGGATCACTCACTCATGTTCTACCAAGAGTGATCCATTGTAAGAGGAAGTGAAGACCAGAAAATGGTGGTGATCCAACTCTGCTCACCTCATCCTTGCTGTTTGTAGGATGACAGAAACACCACAGCGGCCTGGAGACAGTGTCTCAGGCCTATCATTCTACTATTCAGGATGCTAACATCTGAGGATACAGGTTCAAAGCTAGCCCTGGCAGGAACGTCAATGAGACTATAATATCTAATTGACCACCAAAGGACCTAGAGTGGAGCTGTGGGGATGAACACAAAACAAGTTACTCAAATTCAGATATGCTGCAATTTTAAAACATTGACGTTTTGAAGTCTTACTGAATGTGCCTTTCTTTGTGTGTGTGTGTGTGTGTATGTGTGTAAAAGTGTGTTTTTGGGAGTTTTGTTGCTTAAAATATAATTGTTGAGATAAAGAATGTATTTTCTGGTCTTTGGAGGTGGCTCAGTGTTAGAGTGCTTGCCTTGCATGCAGGAGGCCCTGAGTTCAATTCCTCAGCACCACATAAACAGAAAAATCCCGAAGTGGTGCTGTGGCTCAATGGTACAGTGCTCACCTGGAGCTGAAGAGGTGAGGAACAATGCCCAGGCCCAGAGTTCAAGACCCACGACTGACCAAAAAGACAGTATTTTCTGTACATTATTAAAATGAACAACTTGTTTCTATTTTTATGAATACAGCGACTAGCGATTTCATTTCACCCTTACATTTTATTTCTACTATCAGTGCTGTTTGTTAAAAGAAATTATATTAAATCATCCTATGAATACTTGTCAGCCAATGAAGAAGCAGGATCCAGTCAATGACAAGTCAGTAGACAGCCAATGAGGGAGCAGGATACATCCAATACAAAGCAGGATGCAGCCAATTAGAAAGGGTACAGCCAAGGACAAAGCAAGATATAGGCCATGACACCTGTATTTAGATCCTACAGCCTCCATGATTCTACACTGTGACAAGCAGCATGGCACTGGGACACAATGGAGAACATCAGTGTTCAGGATTCAGGCAACAAATTGGATAACACTGTGGAGAGACTATGGCTCTGGGTATACAGGTGTAACCATGGGATTTTCTGGAGAGTGTCCTAAGAGACGGGGCCTACTTCTCTACTTTAGAGGCCATTGCACATTGGTTAGTTCTTTTTCCTTTTTTTGCTCAGAGACCAGGACTCCAACTTGGTATGTGACACACTTGCTCATTGGCTGATACACTGACAGCCTAGAATCCCACCATTGGACATTGGGCCTAATTGGAAATGTATTTCCATTGCTATTTCCTGTTTATAAGGCTCTATACTGGCTGGGACAATGGCTTAGTAGTAGAGTGCTGGCCTAGCATGCATGAAGCCCTGGGTTTGATTCCTCGTGCCACATACACAGAAAAAGGCAGAAGTGACACTGTGGCTCAAGTGGTAGAGCACTAGCCTTGAGCAAAAGAAGCTCAGGGACAGTACCCAGGCCCGGAGTTCAAGCCCCAGCTGAAGCTTGGTCTTTATAAATCCTGTGCAGATCACAGTGTGGTGGTGGGATGTCCCATTCTGGTTTTGTCTGTTTGGGGATCTAAAGGCTTCTTGTATCTGAGTGGACTATAATTTGGATGTTCAGGAATTTCTCTGCTATGATTCTGAACTGAATCTGATATATTTTTCATTGGACTTTCTTTCCTTTGATTGGAATTATGTTTTGTATTTTGGTTTTTGTTTTTGTTGTTGTTTTGGTTTTTTTTTTTTGCTGGTCATGGAGCCTGAACTCTGGGCTGGACACTGTCCCTCAGCTCTTCAGCTCAAGGTAAGCACTCTATCACTTGGGCCACAGCACCACTTCCAGCTTTTTTCTTTTTGCTTATGTGTTGCTGGGGAATCAAACTCAGGGCCTCATGCACGCTACGCAAGTACCCTATCACTGAGCCACCTTCCCAGCCCCTTTGGTTGGAATTAATACAGCTTTTTGTTTGTGGATTCCATGAATCCCTCTATTAATCTTTGGTTAGCCTCATCATGCTCAAGTATAGCCTCATGCAGGCTTTCAGTCTTTTCATTCAGCATGTTTACAAGTAGTGTTTGTAGAGCTTGAGAACTGTCCTCTAGGTTTTTCATTGATTGCTCTGTTGCCTATTTATTTTGAGTAGGAGTTGAGGTTCCTGGACTTGCCTTTTTTCTTGTGTTTCTATGGCTAGTTCTGCCCATTTAAAAATGAGAGCAAATCCAGTACCACACCAGGAAACATTTTAAGACAAAAACCAACCCAGAACCTGTAGCTGCAGAGACTTTAAAGATTAACAAACATTGGCAGGTATTTTAACTCTATCTTTCCTTTTAGGATATGAAAGCATTTCCAATACCTCCACAGAACACACTCTTAAGACAGAAACCAATCCCATTCCCTGTATTTGTACAGATTTTAGAGGTTCGAAATAGGAGATAGGTGTTCTCCTATTGACCTCTCCCTTTCTTTGTTTAGGGAGTGGTATTGTTCTTTCACTTTGACACTGTCACAATGGATACAGATAGAGTCTAGATCTACCCAATCAAATAGGGATCAGTGGACTAAAACAAAGGAATAAGTAGTGAAGGACCAGAAATAAAGGAAAATGAGTTCAGGTGAATTAGAAGATTGAGAGATATAAAGAAAAATGAAGGAGGAGAAAGTAAGAGTAGAGGGATGTAGTGAAGGAAAGGAACAGACAGAAGAAAGCTAAGACCTAAATTCAGAGAAAGAAAAAAATAAGAAAAACAAAGGAAGAAATAAAGATATTTGAAAATGCATTTATGTTTTCCTTCTCAGGCCTTTCCCAGCTCTCAGAGCTCTTTTTCCCAGCTCTATCTCTTTCCCACCTCTTTCCCAGCTCTTTCTCACTTCTTTTCCCAGCTCTCTCTCATAGGTCTTTTCCACCCCGTTCTCATCCATGAGGAATGCCAACCTGACCTGGTCCCAGCAGGTCTACTACATAAACCTACCCCTTACGTGAAAAAATATGTATATATGTACAAAGTAATAATTCTAAAATTAAAAATCATAAAATGCAGCAATAGATATTTGCTCAAGATATAGCCTAAATTAAGTATACACACAATTAAGAAGGAAGCCTAGTAATCACCATTGGCTCTTTAGGAATAAACAGCAATGAAGAAGAAAAATGGGGCAAAATATTTAAATAAAATTAAAATAGAAAAAATAAAAATTACATTTAGAAAACAATTCTTCAATTTATTTGTGTCTCACCTATTTCTGCTACTCCGTCTCCTGATGGAGCCTTTGATTTCCTTGAAGTGATTGGTTTTCCTTATGGCTTAGTTATTTTCTCAAATCAGTTTGAGCAAACAGAAAAAAGTTCTGCCTTGCAACCTTGGCAGTCTTGTATCCCTCCTCTCAGACTAACTCAGTGGGAGAGGGGATCAGCTTTGTGTAGGATGCAGGAAGGAGGTGGCTGGTTTCTGCAGGTTGGAGTCTCTGCAAGTGAGCTCGTGTGTGGGTGGGGTTGTGGCATGTCTGGAATCAGTAACTTTTCCCAGTTTGTCTAGCTCTTGAGATTCTTTTTTGGCCCAGCTTGGAGCCACTCTCAGTTTTGTAGTGTATCCTGTGAGATTGTATAGACTTTAGGATTTTTAATTCCTACAGGGGCTAAGCTCTGAGGGTAGCTGCTATATGACTGGAATGTCTTTGTTCACTGCCAAGGGGCGGGGCTGACCTTCTCTTCCAACCCTGGCAAAGTTGTCCCTTCCTGGGAAGAGCTACCTCCTCCTGGGCAGGGCAACCTTCTCCTAGGTGGAGCTTACTATCACTGATCAGATTCCTTTGTCCTGTTGAAAATGATACCACAGTTGCAGCTTCTCTGGCCCAAGTTATCTACTCGCTGCTCTGACAGGCTCTATTGCAGTATCAAAGATGGTGTTCTTTTGGAGTGTTGGGGGAGAGCTACTTTCCAGATGTTGTTCTGTGAGATGACGTGAAGATGGTTTTTGGGTGTATACATACTTTCCCAGTTTTTTGGACCGTCTACGATCCATGGCAACAGGATGTGCATTTCCACTCCCAATAATTCAGTTCGCACTGGAGATGAGTGAAAAGCCACACCTACTCTGTCTCTGGTGTCTCCAACCTGGGCTCAAATGGGCTTTCTTAAGCAGGCTGCCTGAATTTTTCCTCTCTGGCTAAAATCTCTTTATAGGTTTTGAAAGTAGTCCTTTTGGATTTCTTGGATGTGCAGGATATAGCCAATAGCAAAGCAAGATAAAAATCAATGAGGCAGTAGGATGCAGGCAATGAGAAAGGACACAGGCAGTGACAAATCAGGATACAGTCCATGAGGAAGCTGGATGCAGCCACTGACAGGTTAGGATGTAGCCAATGATGAAGGATGAAGCCAATGACATAGCAGGATGCAGTCGACAAAAGATACAGACAATCGTTGTATGAATAGTGAAGATCTTCTCCCAATCTGTAGGCTTTCTATTGATCTTGCTAGCTATGTCCTTTGCCATGGAGAAGCTCTGCAACTTCATGCAATCCCATTTGTCCAACGTTTCTTTGATTTGTTGTGTTTCCGTGTCTCTATTAAGAAAATTTTGGCCTGCTCCAAGGAGACCTAGGGTTTCTCCTATTCCATCCTGTAATGTTTTCAGAGTGTCTGCTTTGACTCCGAGGTCGTTGATCCATTTGGAGTTGATTCGGGTGCAGGGTGATAGATAAGGATCTAGCTTAATTTTCTACAAGTAGTTAACCAAAGAAACAAAGAAACAACTACCCAATAAATAAATGGGCTAAAGACTTAAAGAGAAACTTCTCTGAAGAAGAAAGAAGGATGGCCAATAGACACATGAAGAAATGCTCAACCTCCCTAGCCATAAAAGAAATGCAAATCAAAACAACATTAATATACCACCTCATTCCAGTTAGAATGGCAAAAATCAAGAATTTTCATAACAACAGATGCTGGAGGTGATGTGGACAGAAGGGAACCTTACTTCATTGTGGCTGAGAGTGTTAACATGTTCAACCATTTTTGAAAATAGTA